TTCTGGTCTCAGGTACAATGGATGAAAAAAATGCACGTAATGGAATCGTATATATCAAAGAACCTGATGATGACGTCCCTATGGATATATAACATGATTTGTTTGCAGTTCACCAACTACAAATGTCCTGGAGTGAAACCCCGAGTGAAACTTGAGTTCTGAATGTGAACACAGGGAAAAATATTTGAAAAAATCATGACCGCCAGAAAATATATCAAGTTCATGGAAACATATCTATTTTGAACCAGATAGATAATTTCTCTGATACAAACTATTTATTAATTGATATGGAAGTATATTTTATAGTATAATTATAATATCTGATTCAAACAACCAAGCTTGTTTGTTATTGGACCTATTCACACGTCAGATTTTTTTAACTTCAATAAGATTTGTTACATTCAAATAATTGGTTTTCTCTGTGTACCAACGATGAAATGAAATAATCATTTTATCTTCAGCTTCTACGATGTAATATTGAATTGCCATTGAAATAAACCGATTGAGGAATGACATGGTATACCTGAATATCTCATTTTCTTTCCTGTTTCAAATTCAGATATTTTGAATAATCCAAGGAGAAATTAGTAATAAAAGTTCCTATTCAGAAGAATCTCCGAACTGCAGAAATAAACATCCAAACCACAAGATATTTTTTGGTACATATACAGGGTGATTAATTAAGGATGGGCAGTCTCTGATTTACAGATAGTAAACACGAAAATATGGAGATTAAGAATGACTTACAAAAATCAACTACGGAATAGCCACAATGCTTAAGTGCATTGTGAATATTTTGTGTTTGAAATTACGCCAGTCGGGCAATCGGCGTCTGCCATTTTTCGGTATTTCATTCTTGTGGAGTGTTTCCTTCTATATAGTCTACTTGGCGTTGAACCCGTGTGGCACGCCTGTGCCCACATTAGATTCCTTTGAGACTATAAATATTGCCGATTGGAATTTGTTGAGCTAGGTTACGCTTAGCCGGCGGTCTTCGGACTGGCCGGCCGTCAAACATGGCGGATTCGAAAAATAACGTTAATGTGAACAATGAAATAAAACCTTGTAGAAGGTGTCAAATAATTGCCCGAAGTGGTTTAAAATGTGCCAAATGTGGCATTTTGTCACATATCGGCTGTTTGAAGTTATTAAAAGGTGTTAAATATTTAGTCAACAACAATGTGGTGTGCTGTGACGAGCTCCAAACCAACTTGGAAGATGAACCTGAGAAATTCTTCGATAGTGCCAGTGATCTGATAATCGAGGATGCGAAAACATTGGAAATAAGGTATTTAAAAGCAATTATTGAGAAAAATGATCTCTTAATAATGAATCAACAATTGACTATATCTTCCCTACAAGAGCAAATAAAATTAATGCAAATATCGAATAAAAATCAACCAATGCCATCTACTTCCAAAGGTAGGAACAACACAAAGGCCGATAATACAATTTCCATCAATAGTGATACAGCTGTAGAACGGAACCGAAATCACCTGAGACCTATCGTTTCTGTCACAGATAAAACAAAAACAACAGACTCATTTTCTGACGCAGCAAAAAAAGATATGTTAAGAAGTGACCAAGATAAGGAACAATTAAAAACAATAGAACCCAAACAAGGGAATTCCCAATTGATAAAAACGACCGACTTCGCAGCCAGCATTTTACAAGAACAATCCAAATTAAAAATGAATTATCTTATTCACTTAGCAGAAGTCCCATCAACAGCGGGGGAAGAGGATATGGATTCACGAAAGCAGGAAGACTGGAGAACAGTCTTGCCTAGAAGAAACAGGAATAATAATAAAAAAGGACAAATGATCATTGGTGATAACAAAGATAACGAATCAGTTCAAGCTGTACCAAAATTTGTTGACTTACATGTTACCAGACTGAAAACTGATACGACTGAAACATCCCTCTCAAATCTACTGAAGAAAACCTTTCCGGAAGTAAGTTGTGAGCAGATTACATCCTTACATCCTTCAATATATTCTTCTTTCAAAGTTAGAATATTAGCAACTAATTTCAAAAAAGCCATGGAACCCAAAACATGGCCTCGTGGATCTTATGTGAGCCGTTTTTTATACCCCAGAAAAATAAAAGCGGATGCAATGAATTGAAATCAATCTCAAACTCAGGTAATCCATATTCAGTTTGCCACATCAATGTTAGAAGCCTAAGGAATAAAACGGGCCAGTTAGGGCCAATTTATGCAACAAATCATTATCATAGTCACAATCATTATCATAGTCTAGTCTTAGTCCTTGTCTTAAAATCAATTTTTACATTTATGCATCACAATCATAAGCTTGAAAATTGAACATTGACACTGTCATATCTGTCATAAGTGTCAAGTGTCAAATTTCACATATTTTGATATTTAATATATCATAATAAAAAATATCGTTTCCTTTTAACAAAATGAACGTCGAAAACAGAATAATCGCAGGCATTGGCCTATTTCACTTATTTCTTGTAACTGCTACTGTGTATTTTCTCAAGAAAAAGAGAGTCAGGAAATGTGGAGTTCGACCAATGAACAAAAAAAGAACAAGGGAAGGTTTCTTTTCAACCCTTATTAAGTCCATGAAAACGGAAGAGCTGGATGAACAACAATTTTTTAAATTCACAAGGATGACGAATAAACAATTCTCCGATTTGCTTGGTTTAGTAGGTCCTTACCTACAAAAAGATATTAATAAATATCACCTATCCCCAGAACATCGTCTATTAGTAACTATTCAGTGAGTTTGCATCTTTTAGATTTTGGAAAAAAGTATTGAACATAATTTTTTTTTTCAGTTACCTGGCTGAAGGTTGTTCCATGCAAGAAGTTGCCTGGGGGTTTAGAATCGGACATGCTACAGCTCACAAAATTATAAAGGAGACCTGTAAAGTTCTTTGGGATGTTTTGAGCCCTTCCCAGCTACCGGCACCATCTACGGCAGATTGGGAATCAATAGCTGTGGAATTTTTCAATAGGTGGAATTTGCCAAATTGCATAGGAGCACTCGATGGCAAACATGTTGTTATAAGAGCCCCACCCAAGTCAGGAAGTGTTTTTTTCAACTACAAGAAATCATTCAGCATTGTACTGATGGCTACCTGTGATGCCCATTATCGATTTACAACTGTTGACATTGGAGCTGCAGGGTCTAATCATGACTCCGCAGTTTTCAAGTTGAGTGGCTTAGGTGAGGCTCTTATGCAGGGCAACCTCAATATTCCTCCTCCAAAAAACTTACCTGGAACAGAAATCAAGATGCCTTACTTTCTTGTGGCTGACAGTGCATTCCCATTACATGAGAATATTATTCGCCCTTTTGCTGGAAATAATCTGGGAGAGAAAGAAAATATCTGTAATTATAGGATTAGCCGTGCTCGAAGAACCATAGAAAGTACATTTGGGATCTTGAGCCAACGTTGGCGAATTTTGCTAAGACCTATCCAGGCAAGTTTAGAAGTGAGTGAATCGATAGTTCAAGCATGTGTAGTGCTTCACAACACTTTACAAACATTTGAGAAGGATCTGCCACCTGCAGAGCGAACATATCTGTGTGATAAGGAGGGTGAAGTGGTTATCGGGAGTCATCTGAGATCCGTGAGAAGATTGGGCTCACAAAATGCAAAAAATATTATTAAGGCACAAAGAAACACCCTGGCTGATTATTTCATGTCAAATGAGGGAAAGGTTCCATGGCAAGAAGATTATGTCCTTAGGGGAGCAGTTCCCACAAGTTGAGATTTCAGATTTCGTCTAGTAAAAAATTGTTTGAGATTGATGTTTATTTCATAGGATTTTTTTTAGGTTTCAAGTTTTACCTTAATTTACCTTTTTTCCATATTTTTTATATCTACATGTTCATTTTGACTTGTTTTTATAATTTTAGTTTGAGCTGAACAAGACCATTCATTTCTTCAATAGAATATATGAACATCATCAACCTGTTTTATTTTTATTCACACAAACAACAATCCTGTATGCACAATTTCTTTATTTTCAAAACATTTTCAAGAAATATAACACAGTTTCCCAAACGTCTTACAAAATAATAATCAAAAAATATCAAAAACAGAATACTGGACACCTGTGTTCTCACTCAATGAGAACAAATAGTATTTTTCCACTTTATCACACAAGTATTAACACTCTCATAAGAGCATTTTGATCAGTAGGAAAACTGAACAATGTCATTAGTATTACCACTGAAATTGGTTATCAAAATGTGCATCTAGATGTATAAATATTTGTGTGATAAATGGGAAGAATACTTTTTGTTCTCAATAAATATAACAAAAATATTTAACTTACAAAAACCTACTAAACATAACTATTCTTAAACTGTATAATAGAAAAAAACAATGATGATCCTATCAAAACACACAAGTAAACTTATATATGAAAAAAACAAAAAAAAAAACAAACATGATTCTTTGGTAAACATATGGATAATAAGTCTCTTGAATGGACTAGTTGAAATAAACTAATTGAATTCTGTTACTTTCAAACTGCGAAGAAAAATGTTCTTTGAAGATGAAGTCAAAAAAACGCTTGGTGGAAGAAAAACTCATTGTTAAGTTGCAATTGCATCAGATATGATAACAAATATTTCTGCTTTGATACCCAGTTTTTTTCTCTCATCTTTTATTTTGGATATTGATTCTGCTACAGATAAACCAAAATGGTAATCATCTTTTCCAATATTACTATCAGGTGAACTTTTAAAAAAATTGGTGATGCTTTTTCCCACGGATGAGCATGTTTCCACTAGTTGGTCTAGTGGAACATCAGACTTTCTCTTTTTTGGTTGTTTTCCCTTCATACTACTGGAGCTGGGTAGATTCGTAATGTTGCTCAGGGTTCTTTTTGACGTAGACGGCATTTCCTGAGACAATTCAGTTTCTGATTGTGGGTCTGGGTCCTGACTCATTTCATTATCTGAGTTACTGATCTCTTGAGAAACTTCTCCATCTGCATCTACCATAATGATGTCCTCCCATACATCTGATGGAGTTGAAAGGGTTTCACTATGTTTTTTGATGTTCCCCTTTGTTCTAAAACAAAAATTATATCCTATCATATAGTCACCAAAAACTTTCATTCACTTTATACTTTCTTGTGGTAACTACATCATGTGAAAATCCCAATTTTTCATATAGTGTCCAAGTGCAGCTGTAAGCCCCTGAGCCAGATGGCCGATTTTTTATGAGTCTTCTTTCTCTAATGAATTTGAGTCTGATTGACTTCCACATATCTTGGCATTCTTCAACTGAAAATATAAAGATACAAAAAAGGTTGACGAAACCCTATATCCACTTACCAGTCAATGACATTATTTCGGAAATTGTTTTCCAGGAATTCTCGATTGCTATTTTATCCTTATAGGATGGGTTTTTTTTATCCCAAAGGTGGGGAAATTTTTCGATCATTTCTATAAGAGTACCCTCTTCCAGGCTCATTTTTTTTTCCGAAACAAAATAATTTAACAACAATGATCACAAGTCAACAAAACAAATGATTAAAATTATGTCATTTGTCAAATTGATATTGACGCGATTGACGCACGCTTGCGCGTTGTGCATGTCGTCATAATCATAAGCATAAAAATTGAAAATTGCCAACTTTCAAGGTCAAATTCTTATGATTATGATTGAGACTAAAACTAAAGAAATTGCATAAATGCTCCTACTGAAATGTACAGTTTTAATTTGATTTTATGATTAGGACAGTGACTGTGATTAAGACTATAACAAAGACAATGATGCATAAATTGGCCCTTAGAGCTATTACTAGAATCACTGAATTTTCCTGACATCATCTGTGTTTCAGAAACATGGTGCAAAAATGATGAAATTTTATTGATAAATGTGAAAGAGTATCAGTTAGCTGACTACTTTTTCAGAGACACTTGTATTGGTGGTGGAGTCGCGATTTTTGTACGAAATGACTATAATTTCGAGAGTATTAAAAAGTTGACTTTTTTAAACCCTGAAAAACATTTTGAATTTGCCATGTGTGAAGTGACATTACAAAATATTTCCATTTTAGTATGTTGCATGTACCGATCACCTACAGGAATCTTTGATGTATTTACTGAATCACTGTCGGAATTGATGACAAAAACATTAGATTCCAAATCTAATGCATTAAAATTCTTTTGTGGGGACTTCAATGTCAAATTTGACGACTCCAATTGCCGAGAGGCAAACTTTTTGGAGAATTTATTTCTATTATTTGGACTTCATAAAACAATTCATGAATATACACGTATTCAAAATAACCACAAATCCACAATTGATAATATTTTCAGCAGTGTAGATCCCAACGCAATCGATGCAGATGTTATTTATAGTGATATTTCAGACCATTTCATGCAGATTAATTCTCTACATAAAAATAATCTCAAGGCGTGATGAATTAGAAAATACCACGAATGTTGCCACGTTTCTGATTTTTTAGTGAGATTCTTGTCAAGTTCATTATTTGAAATGACACAACTGATAAATTTCTACAAATGTTGAAGAATAATCTTCCATCAAATCGATATATTGTTATTTATATTCATTGCTAATAGTTATATCTCGAATGAAGAAACGAGTGCAGTAACCAAATGTACGGAACCAACTGACAATTACTATTCCAAAACATATAGGGTCCGATATTTTCGATTTCAAGGCAAACAAAGATATACTCAAGATATACTAATAAGAATTCAAGAAGGTACTTGCACAAGAAATGATCGTGACAACCACCAAGTAAGAAGCCCATTCAGCACATCCTTCCGTTGTCAAGCTCGAAATATGTCGAACAGCACTTTATCAGGACTCGTTTGTCCATAGAGCTGCAAAGCTCTGGAATTCATAGCCTCCGGAAATATTCACAAGAACTCATATTTTGTTAAGGATGAAATAAAGATCCTATTCTCACTTCCTCTCCCTATATCTTTCCTAGGTACATTATAGGGAGTCCATTTCGCGTACTTCAAGCGAAATGAGCGAAATTTACTATTTGACACTAGTTTAGTATGTTTGTGAATTTTATAATAACATTATAGACATCAGCAATTAATGCTGGTTGAATACACCGAATCTTTTCGTTCAATTTCTCAGCTGGTTCTGGAAAACTATTTGTTCAGTTGAGATGAAGTTGGAACTCCAGATAACCCCATAGCAAACAGTCCAATGAAGTTAGATAGGGGGATCGCACAGGTCATTCAATCGTACTATTTCAATATATCTTATACGAAATTTCCTGTCTAAGCGATCTTGCACAATTCCAGCGTAATGAAGAGATACAACAGATTCTCAAGTATCTGTTTGCATTCTGAGTCTCTCCTAAAAACAGGCACTACAATCCTGTTCAATTGGAGACCTGCACAAAGTTCAGTTTTGGGGAATTTTATGTATATGTGCCTCTTGTATATCCAGTGGAGTTTAGTTCACGAACAGTATTTTCTTGACTAGCTTCACTTTCATCCATATGTTTCGAGATCATCCTGTACGAAAATTCGAAAAATCTACCGGTTACTGATATAAAGGTATTCATCAGGTTGCACACTTTTACTCATCACTGTATTTGACGTTTACAATAAGCAACATGGCCGTTTTCTTCAAAACACATCATTCATTCTAGGAAGGTCATCTTTCAGATTTGATATAGAACGTGATTATTCACTCAGATGCAAAAAAACGCAACAAGTTAATACGGTCTAATTTAAAGACATAATGTTTCAATTTTTGATTCGATTTTCATGATTTTTCAAACAAAATGTAGATGAAATTACTATCGTCAACTAGTATATCCAGTATCTTGTTCAATGCTGAAGGACAAGTTGTTATACAGGGTTGTTATACATAGAAAGGTTTTTGTACAACTCTAATTTCAATACACCCTGTGGAATAAGTTCGTTGCCAAATTCTTTCTAAATACAATTTCTTGTTGAAAAGCATTCCATTTATATATTTCGACTTCTGATTCATGCATACGAGAGCACTGGTTCATTTTTAAGAGCAAAATCGACCTGTCACTACAGAAACGTTATAGTGCTAGAGGTATATACGTAGAAAAAAACCGCATTTTTTATAGAAAGCAAGCCGTTTTGCACATTTGCTTTTCAGACCCAAATGAACGATTTGGCCCGCAGCACCCAAATTTTTGAGTATAAGGGTACGAATTTCAGGGGGTGAAGGGGTTAATTCGGGAATATTTTTCGGAAAATTGAAAATAAAGCTACATAGGTTATCCAGATGTCGATTTCATATAAAATTGTCTTGATGATCGTGATGGTGAAATGATTGTAGCTCGATAACCAGAAGTGCCTCAAAACTTGCCATTTCAGGAAATGGTATTTGATATTTCCGGATATTGTGATAAATTTACATACTTGTACGATTCGAGCCGTTGAAAAATGGTTATACATGTTCCAGGGGTCTCTGAATACGAAAGTACCTACAAAATCATGTCGATATCATTTTAGAATCGGAATATTGAACGGTATGCGAATATACTGAAGATCATGTGTTTGAAACAAATTTCTGATTTGATTGACGTTCTCTACTGAAGATGTCCCATTCGACAGAGATTAATCATGGCCATATAAATAATATGACAAATCGTATTGAAATGCACGATGTTCTTCGAACATTCAAGGGTTTTATTTCCGGGTGCTCCAAGAGATAGAGAAAAGTGAGTTCCTGAAAGTCCAGATTGAAAACACGAACAATGAATAGAACTTTTCGATGCTGACAATTTCACTCTTGAATGTCTCAAGACGAAAATTCTACTACATGCAAAACCATTGATTCTCATATCAATATCTGGAGAAAAGAACATTTCAGTTACGCTCGATCATTCAAAGCCAACTCCAAGTTAACTTACTGATTATACTCATATTTCCAATTCGTCCATCCCAGGTGACAGGGTAATATGTTTCTTCAGCATTTACAGCGTTTTGTTTCACATCCATACTTGCAGACACATCTATCCATATCCCTGCAAGCCAACCAGATCTCGAAAAGCTCACTACAGCACGGAACCTTCTCCACATTCTTTCTTCAGAGAATGGCGAGAGGGGCGGTGGTGATCAATTTCCAAGGGCCCTTACTTAGATGTGTCCACTGGGTAGAGCAATTTTATTCACTTTTCGAACGAAACATCCAGAGGGGGCACAATAATTGAAAATAAATGTTTGTTTTATGTGTACTGCAACTTCATAAGCGTTCCTTTAATGAACATCAAAACTTCAGAAAAAGCGATGGTAGAGCCATTCTGCGTTTCCTGTAGGTAACTTTCTCATGATATTTGCATCTATATGATAGGTCTCACATCAATGGAGTCGTTGAGTTCTATTTTATGGCTCTCTACAAATCAAGCATGATTTAGCATTCAAGAAAACAGCATCATTTTAACTCTCAAGTTCAGAGTCCTTCATGTGTTTGAGTGTTGATGCTGATGAATATTTCATTAGAATTCACTAAAACTGCAGAAGCTCTTTCAGGGACATCGATAATGCATATAATTCTCATCTTCAGCTGGCATTATAGTATTTCCTCAGAATTCATGAAAGTTCTTGGCAAAAATACATCAGGAGAAAATTCATTCTTATGAACCTTTCATTTTGGTGATCAATACTTGAAGTTAATGAGAAGAAACGGTATATCTAGATTTCGTTTTCTCTTGGAGTGCACTAGAGAAGACTCCTATAATATTTGTGAAATGTCGTGCGTACCAAGGAAGGATAGGGAGAGGATGAAACACATCTACTGTTTTTTATTTTGGAGGTTATAAGTCCTTGGGAATACTTCCATTGACAAAGAATTCGAAAGTCTCGTCGTTCTAGAGACGAACAAGTTTTGGTATAGTGTTGTTGGACATTTTTCAAGGTTCACGACATAGGGATGTGCTGACTGTGCCTGTTGAGTTCGTCTGACTGATATTGCTAGTGATGAAATCATAGCAGAGATTTCTGAGTAACATTTCTCATAAGAGTATCTATAGATGAGTGGGAGGTCGTCGACTTTTTCACGATATTCTGATAAGACCAAAAAGTTAGTGAGTTTGGCATCACCAACCAGGCGAATGGCTCTCCGCTCGATGGAATCTGAGAGCATCAGTATATGTTTGTGTGCTAAACCCCACACATATCAACAGTATTCAGAAACTGACCGTATTTATGTTTTGTAGATCATAAGAAGCTGTTGGGGTGTAAAGTAGATTTTCTCACGAAACAAGAATCCGAGTTCTTGTGAAGCGATTTTTGAGATGAATCGGACATGATTCCACCATTAGAGAGTATTGGTGATAGTGAAATCAAGCATAGGTATAGTAATCTTTGTGGAAATGGTGGTACCAGACAATGCTATATCAAGCACACTGAGTTCCGCCTTCTTAGGAAAAATACAGGCTTTCAATTTGGTGGCGTTGAACTCAACTAGGCTGTTGATTCTCCAAGCTGTGATTT